GAGAGAGAGAGAGAGAGAGAGAGAGGATAATACTGTTGCTACTGCTCTGCTATTGATGTTGTTGTGGAACTGTGCACAGAATGGTGGTAGACAGATAGATAGATAGACAGACAGACAGACAGACAGACATACAGACAAATAGAAAGATAATATATCGATAGATAAACAAACAGACATAGTACATATATCGATATAGATAGATGGATAAACAGATAGATTGACAAACAAGAAGAATAACAGATAAACAGATAGGCAGACACCTCAATCAACAGAAAGAGATAGATATATTAGACAGACCGAGAAACAGGGGAAAAAATAGACAGACAGACAGACAGATAGACAGACGCGCGCTCATATGACCTTGTGCAGTTGCGAGCGCCGTAAAACCCCATACTATACAGATAGACAGACAGGCAGACAGACATGCAGACACATAGACAGACTGACAGACACAGAGACAGGCAGGCAGACAGACAGACAGACAGACGGACAGACAGACAGACAGAAAGACGGACAGATAAAATAATACCTTGACACTGGCGATTCGCCTGATCTCTCCGTCTGGGATGGAGTAGATACAGATGGCGGAGATGAAGAGCAAGTTGAAGGCAGCTGAGCCTACGATGGTTCCCGGCCCCAATTCGCCGGCCTTGAAGTCGTTGCCCACGATCTCAATGACAGACAACATGATCTCTGGGGCGCTTGTGCCCAGAGCCAGGAGGCTGAGGTTCGCAACCGTGTCGTTCCACACCTGGACGGACGAGAGAAAAGAATATGTGAGACATCGTGGTGAAATCAGGCGCTCGTCAAAATAATGAAATCGAAGAACCCCGCGAGATTTTTCTGTCCGTTGGGCATTTTTTTTTTATCGAGTTTTGGTTTTTTGACTCAACACCTTTGAGGTCCATTTAAAAACACATTTCTGTGTGGAATTTACTTCAAAATGTTGATTTAAGGAACAAAAATGTAAATTTACAGTTTCTAAGGACTGTCGACCTTTGAAAGTCACTAAAATTTGGCTGCTATTATCTCGCTACGTTTTCCTCTAAAATCAGGCGACCCGCCACCTCCTTCAATCGCAAATATCTCGGCTTCTGTTACTGATTGATGAGTATATTTTTATCACCGAAAGCAAGACAAATGAACAGGCTTTAAATGATAGAAATAACTCCACATGTCCAAAAATTGACGAGCGTCTGATTCCGCCGTTTCGTGACACAAATAGTCACTTTTAAGCCCTAGCGGGCTATCCAGAAAAATGCTGTTTTGAGAAAATCGGAGGTAAAAGTTTTTGCCTTTTGTTCTGTTTCTTGAAGAGACAAGGAGAGGTTTTCTCTATAAGAAAACAAAAGGTCGCTTTTAAGCACAAGGGGGCTATCGCGAAAAACGCTGTTTTGAGGAAATAGGAGGTAACGTTTTTGCCCCTTGTTCAGTTTCTTTAAAAGACAAGGAGAGTTTTCTCTATAAGCAAACAAAAATACACACCAATGAAACCAAACTTCTTCTATAGGTAGAAAGAGCAATGCCCGCTTTTGGTGTAAGTCAAGATTTCTGGAAATCCCCAAAATCTGGGTTAACCCGCTTGTCCTTAAAAGCGACCAATGACAACACTCAGGAGGACTCCGTTGTTTGCTGGTTGTTGGCTTTTGTGTGTGTTTGTGTGTGTGTGTGTGTGTGTGTGTGTGTGTGTGTGTGTGTGTGTC